TAATGGACAACCTTTAACTAAATATACAGTTCTATTGACAAACGTTACTAAAACAACGCTACCAAATTGGGATCACGATATTTATAACACTATATTGTAATGATAATTATAAAGGTAACTTATAAATGTTAAATTATTTTTATTAATTTAATATTCCATTTTATAATATTTTTAAGTTTTTGTTATGTTTTATATTGAAATCAAAGGATGTTTAATAAAATATTAGATATAGTAAATAGAGTAAATATTAAATAGCATTGTATATACTTAATTGTTGATTTATAGTATTAAAAATTTATTTTTGTTTTTAAAATATATAAATGCTCTTATGATTGCCCCCAATCAGCATCCAAATGGGTGTAATCCAAAATTTCAGCTCCGCATTGCCAGCCCTTTAGCGAGCAACTCCACTTGACAAAAACAAAAGACCAATTGTCTGGAATGCATATATTTAAGTGCTTTTTTTAATGAAATTGAAAACGAAAAAACTTTATAAATTTTTATTCAAATTGAAATTTTATTTACATACTCGTATAACAACGTCTGGTTGGTTGTACAGTGAAGTGTTTGCTAGTCTGATTTTCTGACCGTCTGACTATTTGTCTGCATTTCAAAGAGCATAAATTCACTTTTTAAAATGGCATAATGGAAAAAGCACAATCCCAACACTTAACCCCAATAGAATAGTATAAATACCACGTACACCACCATTAACAACACACACAAATACTTTATACAAGCTTTACGCAGCGAAATTAAACATTATTCCCCCATATTTCGGTTAAAAGTTTGGCGCCAGCACTTGAAGTGCAGCCCTTTTAAAGCATTGAATTCTTCTATGGAGTAACTAAAATCCGGAGCAACACTTTGAAAGATGAACAGAAAATAGGGCGAGAAATAAACAAGCGGCAGAAAGTTAAAACGAAAGTGAACTGAGTAGAGTACAAAACGAAGGAAAGGCAAAGAAAGGGAAGTTATACGAAGCTATCATAGATAAATATGCATCAATTTTACCATTAAATAGTGTTAGAACGTTGGAATAATGAGTGGGACAATAGTGACTTTGGCCAGTTACGCTGAAGTTTTGGCATAGCCGGCATACATTGTAGAAATCAAGATATATTTGTGTACGTACAGCTGTAGATTTGCAATTATATTTGCACAAATATCTGTAATTAATATATAACAGTATCTATTATATTACAAACTCAAATGAAGTAATTCGATTCAGCAATCTTTCTCAAGATTCACAATTTTTCCTCTTTAACTGCAGTGCTTAGAATATTTTTCTGCGGTCTGTGCTTTTCTGTGCTTTTTCGTTGTTATTAATTTATAAGCACTTCCACTATCAATTAAATAACTTACATTAACATCACAAGGAATTTCATATTTAACATTGATTTATTGCATTCGATTCAAACGCGTGGAATCAATCGCAAAGGCCGTTGAAAGTGATAGACGAAGCCGCATAAATGCACATTCATGTGACAGGGTAAGAAGGTGGTGATACATTGTTTTTCAACCAGAAGATACCCGTAAGTAAAAGCCACGTTATGTATTATAGATACGTGCATTTTTATCTATAAGATACGTATATACAATCATATATTGCATACATATTTTATTGTGTACTTTCATGGGAATAGTTATCGTATTTGTGCGTTATTTTGGAATATTTGTGTTTATTGAACTTCTCCTTACGTAACAATAAAAATTAAACTCGACATTTAACCGATTAAATTATTTCGAGTATTTCGAATTATGCTGTCCGCCAAATAGTATGATCTGCCTATTGTCGGTTCGCACTCCAATTGCAAATTGAAATGAATTATTTGTCTATTACTCTAACAAAGGACGAACGTTAGCTTTTTGCTGCTACTATAGAGAATAGAGAAGGCGAACACAAATTCCCTTTCATAATTAAAACAGCAGATGCAAATACAGAGCATGGGCCAAACACCAACAATGCAATCCCAAATGCAAGAGCTAATAACAGTCAAGGAAAGTGAACTGCTGTGAAGCTGGACGTAAACTTTTATGATTAGTGCCGATTAAGAACTGCTAAGAAAAATTGCAGACGTCTGTAATGTCGGAAATTTTATTAATTAAAATGTGAAAAGACAAAGCTCTACGACAATATAGTTCATACATACTACAATTTAATAACAAAGTGATAGATCTACACGTAAATGTACATTCAGATACATGTATGCCATATATTCTCATATAATGAAAAATTCAAGTCAATTTTTCGTGCATGTAGATACAAACTAGTGCATGATATTGCATATGTCACATAACTTTATTTATATGTCTAAGCATTAGTTCATAATTTATAATCTTTAGTTCAGAATTCATTTTGCCAAAAATTAACATAACTCATCACCATCACATAAGACTTGTAAGAAGTCCATTGCTCATATTTCTGTCATATTGAAGATACATAAGCCGAGCAGCAGTTAAAAAGAACAACGACTTTATTCTCGAATATCGTTCATAAGGTTGATTAGATTGATTAGGTTGAGCTGTCGATTTAGTGACAAACCGCAAAAGCTTACTTTCAAACTGCAAAACCACTGGATACCTATTTTTGAAAATACATATCAATAAATTATTATGTGACTCCAAAAACGAAATAATTTTTTTGAAAAAGAAACTGAATAATGATTGTAAGAACCAGAGAAATTAGTTTAAAAGCAACTTAAATTTTTGATATTAACTACCCTGTAGAAAATCGAACAAATCGAATACAAGACTATAACTAGTTGTTAGCAGATCACGACTAGTCTAAATTTAATACATTACATATGTTATGTGGTTCGTCGTTTTACAAATTCATGTGTTAGGAGCAAATCAATTAACTTCCTTTCCTTTCCCGTTCAAACCAGTTAGTGGACAATTAGAACACAAGAAAATATTTTCTTTACTTATGTACGCTCTCATCGCAAGTATAATTACATTAGTCCATAACGGACTACTAGATATTTTGGACATATGTCTCAATTTTTCCAACTGGCACACTACATACTTGATTGGAGACATACAACAGATCTTTTATTTTATTCGTCACTCTTTGGTTGTATTAAACTAGAAATTTTTTGCGAATTGGATAAATTAATTCATTTCACTTGGTGAAGCATTTTAACAGTATTTTCAAAACTGATGCAATTCTTAAAAATAAACAAATTTTTTATCAGTTTATGTACGAGAGTAAAACAGCGACTATCGAAGCCGTTGTTTCATAAATGTTTCTAAAATTTAAAAATAAATATGAAAAACATTTCTGAAAAAATATTGCTGATGAGGTCAGCAGTTGGTGGACTGTCTGCAGTGAGATTCCCATATGTTCACCGGGGAATACAATTTGATACAATTTGTAAACATTTCCACCGTTTTTATTAACAAAATTTATTTAAGTTCTCGAAATATTTTCTTCCGAATCACATTTTGTTTCTTTTAAATAAAATTTGCGTTTTCTTTGGCTTTTCTTTAGTGCAAATGTTGTTCAATTAATTAAAATGTGTAAATCAGGCGCTAAATACAGATCCGCAATCTTGTGTGATGTCTGATTAAAGAAATATTGCTGATAAATTATTAAATAAAATTTACAAATATATTTCTATAGTACGGCTCCAAAAAAAATCTCAATAAATTGTCATTACAATTGTAAAAAAAAAAAAAGAGCAGATCAACGACAATACCTCATTATTGATAATATTTTTTTTTCTTTACTATTATATCTATTTCTTATGTTTTTTATGTTTAATAAAACTGCCAATGTAGTTTCTCGGTCTTGTAAAAAATTGGTTTCTTAATACTTCTTTTTTTTCATTTTTTTAATCTTCTTAAAAAATTGATTTATTTTTGGTTGTTGTTGCAGGCAATTAAATTTAATAAAAATATGAAAAATTTTAATTCAAATAAATTGTTTACCGGCAATTTTTTTAAAGAATAAATATGAAAATACACACTAATTGACAGGGGGCAGACAAGCGGACGAGGTTCTTTAGAGTTCATTTAGATAAAATCCATCAAATTCAATAAAACTTAAATCGCAATCCATTAATATTTAAAGAGCTTAGATACATTTAAGTTCAAAATAAGTCAAGCAAATCAAGTAAATTATTGCTGATGTAAAACAGTAGTTCTGTAGCATTGTTAACAATTTAAAAAAACATATACTACGTAGTCTTGTTTAAAGATTTAAGATGTGAAGACACATTGATTGTACTTCGTTTCTCCTGTGACTGTAATTTGTGATTTATTAAAGATTTCTGTATTTTTTAAATTATCAAATGCCAATTGAAATATACACTTTCTGCTGAGGTCATTTTTGAAATTCGTATTTAGATATTTATATTAATAAACGCCAATTGAATTAAAGATGGAAATACCTATATATTGTACAAGCTGTACTCTCAAAAACAATGATCTGATTAACTAGGATAGAAGTTTAGTTATTCACTGTTACAATACAAAATATTTACACCATTTGTTAATTTCAGCTGCTGACCTGTTGTTATGCCCGTTTGAACGAGAATGAATTATGCATTATTAATTCTCTGTAAGTGTTCCGTGCCGTTCACATGTTCTAACAACATGTGTTTTAGGCTGGTGCTGCCACAGAAGAATAGAATAAAAAATTAACAAGCCAGTATGTCGGTCATTATTTATCTTTTCTGTTACTTTCAGACCTTAAATGAACAAAAGACACTCTGTTAGGGCATCCTAACTTTGGACTAGGATACGAACCAACAACCTAGCAGTCTTATCCTGACTCAGATAAAAGTCAGACAGTCACAAAGAATGTGACTAGTGGTCTTATACGCATCCAAGCAGAGACGATATTTTGTCTCTGCTGCAAACACAATGCCGTAAAAATGATACTTTATTTTTCGCTATATATAATCAAGCTTAAGCTTTCTATATAATTTATACTTGAATGTCAATCCCTTACTAATCTCCTATTAATTACTTATATTTATTAATAATTTACTCACATGATTTAAGCGTGCCGCAATTTTTGCATGTTCTTCCTGATAGGCCTTGCGAGCCTTACGTTTATCCTGCGACAAGTGCGTAAGTTTCTCACAAACCACTTCAAGTAGCTCGGCATTGGTTTTAAACTGTTTGGCTTGTTGATCCAGTTCATCCATATAGGAACGCCAGGATTTTGTAATTTGGCTGCCTATATATAAAAAAAAAAATTATAACAAACTGTTTTTATGTATTTACAAATAATCGTTTTTTTGCAAGGTAAAAAATTATCGTTATCATAACTTCGTTTTTCCAAAAAATCTATGAAGTACCTTACTAAATTGAATTCCTAGCAATTATGAAGCGAACCTCTTCACTACAACCTACGCATATACGCATATAGTAAAGTAAGAAAATTTACTATTCAATTGGAACAAACAAAGCAAATTTTAGCAAAAATTCTAGGTATCATCACCAAAACCTATAAAAATGAGCAAAAGTGCTAGCTTACAGCAAGTAAAATGATAAAAGCGAGAAAAAGTGAAAAAGCTAAGAAATCAAAAACTGTAAATCTGATGAAAAGTTCTAACAAACAGTGTTAGTATCCAAGCAGGAAAGACCTATGCTCCGAAAACTCTTAAAATTTCTAAAAAAAACTTGTTTATAAATATTTTTATGTAAATAGTTTTATTCATTGAAACTTTATATAATGCATATGTATATCATCTATCAAGTCCAATAATGTTGTTTATAAACTCTTGTAAAGCTAAATATATATATTTCGTGGGATTCGAAAACATCTATTGGATTGTTTGTCTGTATACAATTTTAGATCTGCAAGTATCAAGAACCGTGGACTCGCATGTTTACGCATAAAACCATAAATTTCATCAAATTCGGGTAAAATTTAAGTTTGTCTATTAACTAATAAAAATTTTATAATAAAAAAGTCAGTATTTCAAATTTAAATTAATGCTTATTTTAAATTTAATGCTGAGATTGTAATTATAAGTATCTTAAATAATCATGCTGGGCTTTTTGTTAAGTTTAAGTAGCGTAAATTAACTTAATTATCTCTTGATTATTTGAGGAAATTATTATTGTAGTAGAAGACTATTTTGTGAATCAGAAAAGACGTGTGCATCAAAACCTTTTAGCTACGCTTTGGTACTTAAGTTTAGAAAATAATCAAATAGAGAAGAGAAAAGATGTTTTATTTTATTTTTAATAAAAATACAAATTTTTTGTTAAACTTTGACAAAACATTACTACTGTCATTATTCACTGCCTTTATTTAAAATCAGCACACGACAGTCGTATTGTATACCATACTGCCCTGCACTACAAAAACTAAGATAATTCATGAATATCAAATTTTTTATTGACAAACCATCTTCCGCTTAAATTTTTCATCTAGGTTTTAATTTATTATTTCATAAAATTACTTATTTAAAACAGTAGCATTAGACTATTTGTAATTCTCGAACTATCATACTTCTTGACAGTCATACTTACACATTCATATTCACAAATAAATTGGATTTTTTGGTTCAAACAATCCACTGTTTTCTTTAGACCTGTTCCAATATATTTAGGCTTTAAATTATATAAAATGTAAACACTTTGGACATATGTTACATGTATTTCTTTTCAAAATGCTATGCTGTAGAATATACAATTTGTAACTTTGATACTTGTCTACCTTCACTGTTTTTCCCTGTTAATCTATAATTGAAATATCTTCCTATTTGTTAACCGATAAGGTTAGTTTTACAACAACAGTTGATAAAACTAACAATAACTCTTGCAGACTTCAGGTCCCATCCTATTTAATGAGAGTCAGATGGAGATACAATATTCGCTTTTGTATAATCGCAAGACATGACCAGATAAAATGCACAGATACTTCTAAAACAGAGCTTTAAAACAACAGAATCTGGAGGTTGCAAAGTCATTTTATCCTACTATTGTTAGCTACCTGAACCACGTTAAGTTCAGAAATTAGTGGTTAATCTAATTTTAGATACATTTACACTAAGAAACGTGCTGCAATATATTACATAGACTAAATATGACATTGCACACAGTCAAGCCTCTGCTTTGTTAACCAACTAAAATAACATGAAAACATTGATAAGATTTTAGTAAAATATTTAAAAACGCTACTAAACATTTACTTTTTTCAATTTTAAATTCTTGAAAATAAAACTAATAGTTTATAAGCAAACAAAAACAATGAAAAATATTATTGCATCAGTCAGCTTAAATTCTCATATGCGAATAAATTACGTGAGGTTTCAAGTTCACGATCAAGGTTATCATTCGAATTCAGTGGATAAACCTACAAGCATACAAAGAAATAAACTGAAATGCTCCGAAATGAGAAATATGCCTCATTTTCCATTCTAATACCCTCCAATAAGATAACAATGAAGCTAAGAAATTTTCTTGCATCAACAACTCAAAATTAAAAATTCATTTCGTTACTATTTTCAAAACATTTATGAGGTTATGCCGGGACCCCACATTCCCGGCCTACAGAGGCACGTGGTCATGGAATATCTCGGTGATACTTAAGCAGTGCCACAATCCACAATTTAATTGTTTTGTTGTCTTTAAATTGGTTTAAAACAATTTTCATATTTACAATTCAAACATACACACGGGGAAAAAGATCATCTCCGGGCGTCCCCACATCACGGCAAAGGGTAGGCACGATAAAAATGAGATAATTCATTTACAAATGCTTAACAGTTGTCACAGAAAATAATTCATGCCACACTCGATGGTCTAACACAACTTAAAAAATCTATTCCCAAAGACTCTCGCACCTTGCGTGAGATTATCACTTGTCACTTAAATGACTTCTGTGATATAATTACACGAATATCGGTGATATAAGTACATATGCATCACTGAACTAATTGTGTCAGTTGTGTTATGCTTGTTTCGTCAACTGTTGTTTAGTTGTCAGTTTTCTGCTTGTAATTAGTCTAAGTCACGCGACATTTCAAAATGATGTGAAGTAACAACTGAGTTTTGTTTTTTTTTTGCTATCGTCCGAAAATAATAATAAAATCAATTTTATAATACAATTTTCCTAAAATTAGTAACTATTATTTAGTGATAATTAATATTAATGCGGATATAGCTTTAAAGGTATTGCAGTCAAATCATTTGTCACTCCAACATGGGTTTGCATATAAATTGAACATTTTTGAGCTTCCTCCACTGCATTCATGAATTATTTACTTTACCCTTCTGATATTACATTGAAATGTATTAAATAAGAAAACTTCAATTGCTAAATCTTAAAATTATGTGCTTATTTTAAGCATAATAGAAAAACTGTAGGAGATACTGCTCGAAAAATAAGTAAAGCTTAAAACTAATTGATCTCAGTTCAATATATTACTACAAAACTTGCTTCGCTATTTAAAAACTAAATTCTGAATTCAAAATTACAATATTTCATACATTTCTCTACAAAGAAGCAATTCGTTATATAAGAACTCAGCTGAGACTACTTACAGACCATTAACTTCACAACATAGGTAAGACTATCAGATATGATAGGATACTTTCTCTACCTATATAGACTTGTGCCATATTCTGCGTCTATGGCACAGCTATACTCTGTGATAGCAGGAGGATAGAGTAAGCTCTCTAGACCACACCCATAATCAAGAACTCTTTGTCAAAACAATTAAAGATCTCGTCTTAATTTTGTGCAGCAAACAGAGTATCTTCTACTCGGTAAGGGACTTGCTTGTGGCACAAAAAATTTGTTAATATCGGAGTGCTCTACATAATTAGAAGCCTATAATTTATTATTTATATCTTAATTATTATATATTATTAGATTCTGTCATAATAGTACAGTTTATCATAAAAAATCGTTTTTTATTATTTTGTTTCGAATAATTAATCGTAAAGCTGAGAAGCTAAGAAGACAGAAAATAAGAAACTGCTGCGTTCTGCTTTCATATCTTTGCTCCTTCCCTTGCAAAGCGATTGATCGCTAGTTAAAAATTTACATAAATTGACTTATTGAACTTTTTCATAAAATATGATTAATAATTTTCATGGAATGCATTTCGAAGTTGGAAAAAAGTTCAACTACTGGCCAACAAAAGACAGATATGAACAGTCATCATTGAGATACATAAGCGAAATTGCAGTTGTTGATTTTGATGTGATTATAAATGTGGACAAAACGAGATTCATTACAAAAACTTGCAAAATTTACATCAAAACAAAACTACGAACTTAGGTTCGTAGTCAATAGAAAGTGAAAGTAAAATAAAGCAAAACATGTTCAGCTAATAATAAAAATGAAACTAATAATGATCATTTAAAATGCACACAAAAACCTAAACAATTTCGAACTTAAAATCGGCAGTAATCAATCTCAATCATTTGTATGCACATGGAAAACTTGAAAAACCAATATAGGTAATGTCGATATTTGATTTGAGATACATTTGAAAATTCGATTTACTGATTTGCGTTTACAGGGCTAATAAATTCCATATGTGCCTAGTAAAAAGTACAAAATTGTGAACAATACTGAAATAAAATATGATTACAAAGAAAGCAAATAGATTTCAAGTAAATGAGTGCTTGATTGTTGTTGTTTGTGTTTTGTGATTCACTCCCTTGTAACTGTTCTGCCTACCACTTGACACAACAGCAGTTGCATTTAGCACTATATATACCATATATATGTATATATAGGAAATAACACTAAAGAAGTTTAGTTATCATAAAATGAATTAAAAACACAACATTGAATTGCCAAGGAGGGATTGAGTGTGTAGACTTGAAATGGGTTCTTATACAAGTTACACTTTTGATTTCCACCTTATATAATACAATATCAGGAATTATAGTTCCGAATTGCCACTTATTTGATCTTAAAGTACACATCACATCATTTTACATTTATTTATAGGTAGATACGATTGCCTCGTATTAATTAATCTTCAGATCGTCAAATTCAAAACCTAAGCTGTTATCTTCGTAAACATTTTGTTGTTTTTATAAATTATGAACTCATAATCAAAAACTCGTAAATGCAAGCAGTTCTATGACGTATAATAGTTACGTATTTTATTTTTAAATATTCACACCAGCCAGCAATTCTGAGAATTCATTATTATTTATTTACACTTCAACTTAAAAATGTATACCTTTTCTTGTTTTAAAGCAAATGAAATGTATGTAAAGTTGTTGACTTTTTATGACAAAAGATATACTACATATATTAAACATTTCGAAACGAATACGTATTCACAAGCGACAACAGAGGGAACTATATGTAATCTAATAAAAAAACATTACAGGGCTTAAACGAAGGAAACCAGGCACATTGGCATAGCTGTTGAAATTTTGATATTCCAACATATACATTGGAGGTAATCAGTGTTAAAATTTTGCACATAGCATGGTTGCGGTACTGTTCTCTTCTACATTGGAATATAATAATATTCTAGATAATATTTGCTATAAAAGTAATATTCATTAAAAGTTTTTAAAGATATGAAGGTAATATATATAAGCTTTATTATAAATGAGTATTGGGCTATATACTTGTACATTAGCTTTTAGCTTTGACACAGAGAATTTCAATGACTCATATTCAGACAGGTATGAGTGCATCCATAAAATGTAATCAATTTTAATATATAAACAGAAAATGGAATGATTTTTAAACAATTTGTGAACAACTACAACATCCGACAATAAAAAAGCTGATTTTTCCAGCGAACCAATCGGGTTAAATAAATTTTTTACCTTACTATTATTCTACCTTTCCATCACATTTGTGGGATGTATTCATACATCAATCGGGTCTCAGATATAAATGCGTAGTGAAACAGTTAAAAAAATTAAAGGTCATGTGAGATTTAGGGTTAAGTTGTTTTAGTACTCTTTCTATACCAGGAGTATAGAAGATGCAATTTTAAAGCAGTTATTATATACTAGAACTCGGAAAATCAAACTATTTCAAATTATGAAGCTAGGCCGTTGGAGTTCTGCTTTCTGCCGACGATTTAACTGCTTGAAATTCGAATGGCATGTGTGATTTCATTAAATACATAATTAATATTTAATAAATTCATATTTAAAAGTTAAAAAGCTGATAACAGATTTCCACATGACGATGAAGTTCAACGAAATTCAGATCAAGTCTAAACTAATTTTAGTGAGAAACCAGCTGCTATGACGTTCGTTTTCGATAAAGAAAACAGTGTGGGTATTTCCTCAAGTGCAAAAGTTTAATCAAACGCTTTGATGAATTCTAATTATTCAACATGTCTTAAACAGATTTATCACGTTTAAGTTAACCTGTTTGACTCAAGTTTAATTCAATTAATTAAATTATATAATTAGTGAGTAACTGAACATACCTTGCATTTCATCGGCGCGATCGATCTTCAATCCTTGCTGCGCAACTGCAGACAAGCTTATTGCGTACTCTTTGTCGGATTTCGCCTTCATTTGTATAGACCGTTTCATGGTTTCCATTAGACGTAATTCAGCGTCCTGACGAACTATGAGCGCCTCGTGCGCTGCACGGCCCTGCAGGGCCGATGAGAAGCCCATTTTGTAGCCTTCACGTATTTGATTAATGACTGATTTTTGAAAAGCACTGTAAATTGTTCTTTTTCAAATATTATTTCAAAGCACTTAAACGTTTATGATTAAATTGGAGTTCTGATTGGTAGAACGGAGAACCATCGCAGGTTCCATTAAACTCGTAGCACTTGTTGCACTTTCATTTAAAAAGTCTAATAGAATGTTGTCAGTTCCAAGTTTTGCCTGAACGATTGGAAGACTCTGTAGGCCATTACTGGCAGGCGATATTATTTTCTCAATTTCATGACAGATGCACGCGAATTTCCGGCCATGGAAAACGCACGTTCCGCGCAAATTAAAAAATATTAAAATCACAACAATCACCAATTCAAAAACAACTGAATATCTTTTTATTTAAATGTATTTTTGGCTCTGCAATGAAAAACAAACAATACAAAATAGTGACAAAGTGACAAAGTGCCAAAAAGCGCAAAAAATCACAACTAAAAACTTTCACATTTCACTTTTGGCAAATTTTTTTGCATTTTGTCCAAAAGGCAATTTTGATTCTTTGATATATTTTTTGGACGTTTTTGGGCACCTTTTATAGGAATTTGCACATAAACAATTATACAATCCTACAATTGTAGAATCTCTGAGATACTTTCGTTATTTATTTATGAAGCTGTGTTTGCAACTCAGTGGAAACTTCATTTCATCTTAGATTTGTGGATTTATCTGCCTGATTCCTTTTCGTTTTGTATTTACAAAAAACTAGTTTTTGTTGTACACAAAGAAAACAAACCCGAACACGAGTCTCTTGGCTTTAAATGAACTCAGAACGTAAGCGTGAACGTGAACGCGGACGCCAGGCCTGAAGTATCTGCAACGTACCTCAAACAGGTTAGCCAATACAAGATCACATCAACATCAACATCAACAAACACAATAACAATAACAATAAAAACAACAACAACACAACCTTCGCAGGCTATTTCAATTCAACATTAAATAAATTTGCTTGTACTCACTCAATCAGTTACAAGACAAAAATTTATGACAAAAACATTTTTAGCCACTAATTTTGCTTCACTTCACCGCACCGCACCGCACCATGCCGCGCCGCACTTAAGCTTCAGAACTTTTTAGCTTGTGATGTTCTTAAAGCAAAGCCCGTAACTGCAACACAAATAATTACGATACCTGTTAGTATTAAAATCGCAAAAGGAAAACTTTCGAAAGTTTTAAAAAATGCCAATGTAAGAAGTTTAAATGTTTACTTTCAAACGTCGCCACTTGCAATTAACGACATTTCTACACCAAAAACCGTGAAAGCTAATACTTGAGTTTTGCTTTTCACACGAATATTTCAAATAATCTTACACAAATTGCATGCGCCACAACTAACGACAACTACTAAACGAACGACGAACGACGAAAGACCAACAACGACCACCGCATAAAACATCCAAACAACTAATGTAGCATAGCATCGCCATTTAGCAAGAACTGTGTTGTCATGCCAAATAAGTTTTGTATGAGTTTGAAGATGTTTGAGTCGAAATTGCAAAGAAAACGAGTTGCCAACGTTGATTTATTTATTCATTTTATTTGCTAACAAGTAAAATAAATAAAATTTATAAAAATTACTTTAGTTACGTTTTTAACAGAAACTGTTTTATCTATCTCTAACCATTGAAATAGAGGTTTTCTACAGACATTTCTTGTGCAAATATTCTTATTCAGTATGCTCTTTTATAAATTTTCCATTTTTTTGTATTGTTGTAATGTTGTCTTCCAACAAATAAACAAATAAACTTATTGCTTTTAATGTAATTTTTGTGTATATTTTGTGTATAAGTATTATTAAAAAATAACAAAAAAATCTTGAAACCATTTTTAATGACTGACTTAATTATCTTGCCAAATAATTTGAATTTCTTAAAATTATTAAAATTTATTTCTAAAATTAATTTATTTATATACAGAACAACATTACAAAAAATAGATTAAGGGCGTGGATTTTTCTGAGCTAGCACATAGTTAGCTTCTTAAAGTAAAATTTTTTAAATATTTTTTATATAAAATACCGAATTGTGTTATTGTGCACAAGTCATTAATGTGCGATCGACTATGCTACTAGTTGTACCATACTATAATAGTCAACGTCTGCCGTCCTCACACAAATCTGCCTAATTGTCGATCCTAATTGTGAGCACAAGTCATCTATTTCAGATCCCCAAAGTCTGCGACCGTACTGATTTACGTTACCCCTCTACATCCTTGTAGTTTAACATATGTAAATGTGGAGCATTGCTTTCTGAGAAAGTCCTTCGTGTTCAAGTTTACCGATATTTGTTCTTATGATTATATCTTTTATTTCAAAATACATTGCGTTTAGTTTGTAGTTGTAACGTCTCGGGACTCATCTGTAGTGAACGATGTAACATTTTTATTGAATAAACCAAATGCAATGCGTACAATTGCATCATTGATTCTTTATAAATAAACTTTTTCATATTTTAAACTTTTACCAATCTTTACTGTTCTCGCAATTGTAAATTCATAGAATACCATTTCAAACTAGATAATAAATATTTATTATCTTTGTATGGAACAATGTGAATTATATGAAATGTAGCAAATTACTCAAAATAAATTCAACATCGTACAACAGTTTCGTGTATGACGCAACATCAAACTCCAACAAGCATCATGTATGCCAACTCTGGCTGAGGAGTTCTACCTCCGTGTTGTGTTTATAAAAATTTGTTAGCATATCACATTATATGAGTACTCTTGCATCCTTGATTCAAAACTTCTGTGCTAGTGTACATTGAAGTAAACATCTAAACAAACTCCTCTAAAGAAACTCCCATCTACTGCAGTAACATGCAGTCCTGACAAGCAAATTTTTTTTTCTTTTGTAATGTTTATACAGAAATTTCTTATTGTATGAAGCTTTTAGTCCTTTAGTTCAGTCCTTTATTATATTTTCCAGTTTTTCGTACTGTTAGCTGGTCCTTTGACTTTTGTTTATTTATATATATATATTTAAGTAGGCACATACCCATGTGGGACTGTGTAGCCGAAACCATCCCGAAATGACTTAAAGGTCTATATATGTATACATATATCTATGCATTATAACATGACTAAATGTCAAACAAAGCTATAGTAATCCAGAATTTTATTCCAAAATGTTCTCGAAGTAATTTTCTGACTATGGACTTATTTTTGAGCTTAGTTGAGCACTAGAATGCTAACTTAAGGAATAGATATTGAGAATTAGTTTCATTTTTATACTTTATTACTAAGTTTTTATATAATTAATTCTTTATAAAAATTTTAAACCCTTTCCGAAAGGATATCCGTCTATTGAAAACTGCACTTATACTTTGATCATTAAATATTTTGGAATATATTAGAATTTCCTAATATAATACATATAATAAAATAAAATACCGACTCTCTAGTGCTCATCAAAATATTTATCATATAATTGGGTCAAAACAGAGACAAATTTTAAGAACTCATGCAATGTGATTCTTAAGAAAAATGTAGACCTAAAAATAGATCAGCATATGCCAAGATATTTCAAGAAGTCTAATGTTTACGTCACTTTTATCATAAATACGCCTGGCGTGCGCATAAATCTTGCGAACATTTATTCTATGCGACAATCGGCGGCAGAAAAAACTTGGACAAAAACCTTAAAAACGCTTTCTTCTATTTTTAAGTGAGGTAAGCATTTGGCTAGAGCATGGAAATTGGTTTCAATTTATTGCCAAAAAGGTAACTTTTTATTTCACAAAACACAAAAAATACCGAAATTTATTTTGCTCACCGCAAAGTAGGCCCATGAGTAGCCAATACAACTATTCCTATACCTGACCCATCACCCACACATATTTCGTAGATAGTTTGAGGTAAAACTATTCTCTCCTAACGTATTTAGTTTTATCGTCGCAATCAACTCGAATCGCTTTCCTTAAAGTAACAATTTTAGTGTTGGGAACTGAAAAAAAGTCACATGTGGTCATGTTCGATGAGCATTGTGCTTGCTTGATCAAATTTTTTTTTACATAAAATGTATACATTCAATTGTCCTATTTTCCAATTCTCTACTACATAACTATATTAATACAGACGAAAAAACTTCTGCCTTTTAACGAGGGTACGAGTATCTTTCACGCAGGTTTTTCAAATTTTAAATTTTATATATTTTATACTAAGAACGTTATAGTTGAACAAAAAGGCAGTTAAATATATTTTCTTACAACTCACATATAAAGGTAATATTTTATGAATATTAATATATTTTCCTTTGTATAAAAAAATAACCTCCATCTACATTGTACATATATAAGCAAATGTTTACATCCATATATTTCATGCGTTTAAGGTAATCTAGTTTTGTGTCTGTACATAAATTTGAGTAAGACAAAAAAAAACAAAATATATTAACTAATGTAGCTCATCTATTTTTACTACATCGTTCAACTCCCTATCAATGCTTAACTCTAAAACTGCATCTTCATCAACAGACATGATTTCTTTAGAGGATTCATCATCATTATTACTACTTTCCTGTTGTTTATCGATATCCATTAAACTTTCAGGATCCTCGTCATCACTTATATCTACGTTCTCACTAATAACATCATCATCTTCCTCATCACTCTTGCTACTATTGCTTAGAAGTTCATCATCTTTTAACTGTGCTTCAAGTTCATGAATAGCATACATTAGAATCGTAAAATCGTTACGCCGTTTTTGGAATTTCAATTCCAGCTTAGTTTTCTTTTCAAGTAATTTAGTTAATTCTTTTTTAAGAGCTGCAATTTGCTGTGTAATTTCTATACGATCTGGTTGCTCTTTAATTAACTTAGCTAGCATGTCATACTCCAACTTGTTTTTTCTAATTTGCTGCGCAACAGTCAATTCAATTTTGCTATCTTCAATTTCTTGCTTAGCATTACTAATACTTTCTTCTATTGATTTCGAGAGTTTTTGATAATTAGCCAATTCTTTTTCAATCATTTTACTAGTCTTTGCCGACTTTTCAGCAGCTAATTTGCATTGTGCAAGTTGAGCAACCAAACGTTCAAATATAATTTGACTGCAAGGATAAAAACAAACATTAATATCTATGTAAACATTCCATATAAACAGAAAAGTACTTTTGGTCAGGTGAATCATTTTTAGAATGGCTCCACTTCAGAAACTGCTTCATTAACATATTTATTCGTCGATCATCTCCAGTTCCATCGCCATCAATAATAAGACGTTGTTTTATTATATCTTCTGCAAATTTAAATTTTTATTCATATTCTAGTTGTGTATCCTATATACATTATTAATTACCGTCACCCATTTTAAACCTTAGAATTTTCTTAAAGCATTAAAATGTGTATTAATAAACAACCCAACTCAAAATGTTTGGTTTAGTGCTGATGTCAAAACATGCTGAGCAAAAGGGATGCCACATTTATTAAATATTTCTGAGCTACCACACGCAGCTTTTATAATTTTTTTGTGACACTTCACTTATTTTAATTTTCATATTTTAGAGTAAACTTAACATATTAGGTCTGTTCTACGAGCTACTCATAGTAACTCTGAGTAAACACTGTGTATACATAAGCGCGTTCCACCAGCAAATTTTCAAGTATTTTTGTGTAAATTTCACTTCTGTTTTACTCATGTTTTACTATGAGTAGCTCGTGGAACAGAGCTATTAATTGTGGTAAACGTTTAATGATTCATTTTGGGATTCAATAAAATTCACAAACCCGAATTTTTTGTAATTTGCATATGATTGACCAGTTAAATATGAAATAAACTGTTTAATACTAAAACAATGTATAGCCATTTCTGAAAAAAACATTCTGAAAAACCCCATACCAGTTATTAGAGGCAATTCAGGCACTATAATACAAAAGACTTAGTAATTAGATAGTAAATATATCTAAGCCGAAATTGGAAACAAATGAGAGAAGGATATAAGGACGTTCTTGTTAGGTAGAAATGCAATTGCGTTTGGGAGTTAAAATAAATCTCAAATGTATTAGCAGTTTGGTTAGGCTAATAGCATAGCTTAAAATTTGACGGTTTATTCCTGAAGACTAATAGTCCCTGGAACGGTTGCGATATCCGTCAGGAAAAACAATTGTGAAGATTTCATTTTTCAAATATCGTATTACCTGAAGAAGAAGCTAAGGTGAAAGTTAAGGACATCACTAATTTTGTGCGCACACCTACGCACCTAAGATCAAGTTATTTTCGGCAAAACAAATCTACTGAACGTTACGGTAAAAGAGTTTAAAAAGTGCACATATCTAAATAATATTACGTAATTACCGCTAATTGAGATTGCTAATTGTGAAGTGTCAACACAATATAAGTTATATAATAAACTAGTGTAATAAACTCGTGTAATAAACTAGTGAGCAATCATTTTTTTTTAAAAAACACTCCTAAATTAATAATAACTATATCTGTTTTTATAAGTGTATTCTTTTGAACACACCTTATACCACTTAATTTTCAATTCAAACACTATAAATTTATGTTGTAAATGTTTATTATTATGCGAGTATTTATTGTCTTATACGTAATTATGTTTTTTTCCCTTGCTTCTGAGAACACGCGCTATATGCGTCTTCTCAGAACGCTGGATCATTAGTTAGTTGCTATTTGTACTTTGGTTTTCACATCACACTAGATGGCGTTGCGCTGGTAATGTATTTGCTACACATATAACATATTAATGTGGCAACACTAAATATGCAATGGCAACAAAATTGCAATTGAAATATATTGCCGGTATTACTAAGTATACGGTCGTTTTCTGTTAAAAATGGAAGCACCTTTAAGTAAAGTGCAGTATGGTCACCATTATCGTTTGAACACAGAGGATTTCAGTAATCCAATGGTGTTAATTGTAAACGAATTAAATAAGAAAGTCGTTAAAACAGGTGATGTTATGATTGGGTTTCGATATCATCAAATGGTAGACCCTAGGACACAACGGATAATTGTTAAACATATGAGTGATTCGTCCAAAGGCTATTTCAAATCTGCCTTGGATCGTGCTCCAACATTGTGCAGTATGCGTTCTACTCTTGACAGGTCGAAACATGCATTGTGTTACAGAGTAGCTAAAGCTTTACAAGATAATACACCTATTGAGGAAGATGACTATAAAACATACCTCGCGCTGCAACCAATAATCAAAAAGGAACAGATCATTTTCAACAAGTGTATTAAAGAGTATTCAACTATATTCAATATAGATATATACCAACCAATGGAATATTTGGTGCTAATATGTAAAAAGTGGTATGAACATAAAATTCAGCTATTTCGCCAAAAATACCCACAGAACTTGGCGTTAGATAATACACGCAAGTTTTTATTTAAAATCAATGATTACGTTAAAGTTCAAATAGAACAAATCACGATGCTTGAACAAGAAGGTTGTATTCGCTTATGGTCAAGTGGTAAAGAATCTATGTTCCGCAACATATATTCTAAGTTGGATTTTCTGATAGATTGGCACAAAAATTTAAATGAAAAAACTAAAATTTTACCCGAAGAAATTGAGAAGCATGTATATCAACAATTGCACATCGAAAAGGATCATAACAAGTTCTTTCTTCCTTTCGATGCCTTGGTAATGCTTATGAGTAGTGATGACTATATTGATTTGCCAAATAAGGTTATTTTTGATGTTAAGAGTTATACTAATAGTCAGTTTAAAGTTGTTCTTTTTGAAGAACCATTTCCTTCACATCACTTGGGATTGCATACATATAACGAAATTGTAGAAATTGGCTATAATTCATTTATAAAGCGGAATTGCCAGCAATGGCTACCAATTAAAAATATGGAAATTGGTTCAGTATTTCAAGACAAATGCAGTCCAACATATTTAAATACCGGAAAATCTGAGCAGCCATATCAATTAAGAGGTTTTAATGAATATATGGAAAAATATTTCTGTGTACATAAGACAGGGCAGATAAAATATACTTCAAACAGCACTTTAATTAAGTTTCATTTAAAAGAAAAAGACTACATCAAGTTATTCACTACATTTGAAATGGCAGGTGTGGTTAACGAGAAAGCCACGGAGTTCATTGGAGGTCATTCAATAAAACTAGAACATAAACCATTGATAGGCTGTGAACTTATGACTTCTTACGAACTAATTAAAGAATGGATAAAACTGCGTTTTATGCAGGAGCTAAAACGCTCAACTCACTCTATTTGTAGCCGGTTGTCATCAGAAAACTTTCTTCCACAACTAGAAGAGCGTCTTACCCTTCAGAAGATTGAACAGCAATTAGAAAGTGATTATAACATAAGCATAGAGAAACGCTTATCGGATTTAAATATTTTATTAAAAAAAATAGCAAATTTAGAGCTCGGCAAATATTGCCTCATACAAAAGGACACAAAGGAAACATTTGAAGTAATATCTTTATCAAATGATCTTGAAATAGGAGACAAACACATATACGATTTGTTTGAACCTGTTCCGCATAATTTCAGATTTATGGTAGATCCTATATCGCTCCCTATTTCTCAAAATTTAATAGGCAAAGTACATGAGAATTCCAAAATATTACCATGCATGTTTTTGCCTAAACTGCCAAAGAAAGTTATGGAGAAAAAGAATTTAAAAGTATACACTCATTTTAAACCTCTTCAAGAGGCAACAAGACATTCCTATAAAAGAAAATCTCCAAACGCCATCAATTCAAATAAATTAAGTGCTTCTAATAAGTTAAAAAAGAATGCAAGGAAACGTCAAAAACGAAAACAAAAGCAGGATCCTCATGCACCTGAAAAGAAACTCAAAACCAATGAAGAGCGTGAGTTAGAGGATGACATAAAAAATTATGAAACCATTTTCGGCTCATAAAGTTATTACTGACATTTAAGATTAAATTATTATACCTATTTTAAATTGATTATGGAAAAATTAAAAGTAAATCTTTAATATTTTATTACAAATATTTAGTTTTATAAATTGTGTTGAATAAAACACACATTTCGTAAAATTAAATAAAAAATTATGAAACCATTTTCGGCTCATAAAGTTATTACTGACATTTAAGATTAAATTATTATACCTATTTTAAATTGATTATGGAAAAATTAAAAGTAAATCTTTAATATTTTATTACAAATATTTAGTTTTATAAATTGTGTTGAATAAAACACACATTTCGTTTCTAGTTTTTTAAATATAACATAGTTAAAAACCAAAATGATCTGTATAAGAGCATTTTTAAACGTATATTTAAGTTGACTAACATTATAGAAATACAAAAATGTAAAAAATTTTGTACAGAATTTAGTTTATATTATAATTTTAATGTGGCAAAATTAAGAGTCAAAATAGAATCATCAGTGTAAACAGGTGCGTCTTTCTTCTGCCAGAAGTCTGAATCAGGAGGTGGGAGATTAAACCTGGGAAATGCATGTACAGACAAGTCATTAAAAATGCTTTGTAATTCATAATCATCTTCTATAATAAACTCTTTTACATATGGTTGAATATCCAAGATGTAACTCAAATCGGTTCGAAGTATCCGTTCAGGCTGATTGCTGGTAATGCTCTCAAAACTATTGTTAATCAAAATAACATTCTGAAGCTTCTTGGGTTCCCAATTACACCAAAGTAAGTTATTGGTTAGAGGGCCTGGACAATGAGGCATATAAAATAGGGTAGGTTGTTCTACTTCATATTTAGCTTCACAGTTTTCAGACATTACGAAACAATTTAATTCATGCAATATCTTTCTTTCTGTTTCATTAAAGATTGGGTCAAAGTATAAACACTCTTTGACTTTATATAGACGTTGTACACAAATTACGAAAACAAGTTGGTGGAGTGCTTGAACATGACGCGTAAATGGACCCAGCCCAAAACAAATCACTTTTTCTATGTTTTGTGCTTCTGTATTAATTTCTCTTAGACTTTGTTCCAATACCTTTATTGCTTGAGCAAAATAATCGCAAGTACTCATATCATTGCATTGTTTGTTTAATTTTCTGCAAAAATTATAAATTAGATCATTTAATTATCAATGCCACATTGTGGATATTTACACAATAAATTTGTTTTTAAAACTCTGAAAATCTTCCGCTAAACATTTATTGTCCAAAATATGTTTGTGGGTTTTAGCAATTTTTTTTTTACATATCCATTTCTTTCGCGTAACAGGAAGAAATTCTTCATGTTTATTTACGGATTCTGTCATTGGTATCAACTTAAGAAATAATTGTTTTTGTTTGCTTATTCTTGTGCCAGTTCTCATACAGTTTTTTTATCTTTCTATCGTCACTGTTGACATTTACATTTAGTATTGCCAGCATAATAAATTTATAAAATTATTTTATAAGGTAGTGTCACATATCCTATTGATGATTTTACACTATGCGATTTGCGGCAAAATGTTTGTGAATTTAACTTTTGCTGTTAAACAATACATTTGTTACGGTATTAATATGAATTAATTTAGCACAAAAACATTATTCGCATTTCAATTAAAAAAGCCTTTAAATTTTGTTTTTTACAAACCTATGACATTTTCATAGATGTATATCAATCAGTCGCATACCCCAATGAAAATGCATGCAAGAATGTAAATGGTGCAAGCGAACGTATTTTTTAAAGCATAAGGTGTTTTAAAGTCAGTTATGTTTTTTAAGAATATTAATTTTTACTTCGAACGTTAATTTTTAATATATTTCGGCAAATCCGTTCTTGCCTTCATCAAGAAAATTTCTAATATTCCGAATATTTCTAAAAAACAAAACCGACTTTAAAATATTTTCGACATAATAATTCAAAAATTGAGATGTAATTTTACATAAAGTACTGTTGAGGCTGACGCGACGCATAAATATGCACATATTTTAATTTTGGACGGAAACTAGAGTCAAGTCACTTGTTAGAACAAAAGAAACGTGTGGTATGAACACCATTATATAGAAGCAAAACTGTTTCAAATATGATAATAATCATTACACAAACCTTGTTGACATATAGGAAAAGTGATTTCTATGTCATCGTTTTCATTTCTGATTTATCGTAGTGTATACACACAACACATTTGTCGTTTATGTTTGAACAAAAAAGATGTGTTGGTCTGAACACCACTTAAAAGTGTTTTAATTAAATTAAGTGCTAATGTAAGCAATAAATATTTTACTGTAAAAAAATCTCTAATCAAAACATATAGGATAACTAAATAAATTTTTAACGAAAGTACATATAGCAGTTATAATTATACAATTATATTACATAAGACAGCTTATAGTTTTTCATCATAAACCCATTTTATTAAATAAATTTAAAACTGAAACAAAGATGTAGAGAAAAAGTTCATTTTTTATTTTAAAAGTAATGAAAATATACTAGTGAATAACATAAAAATCAAATTAAAAACAAAAATAAAGTGATTTACGTTATTTTTGTTTGCTGTCTCTTAATAAGGTTAAACACTTAAAGTTATATTTGCAAAAATTTCTATCACACGTTTGGTAAATGTGAAATATAAACAAAGAAGTATTATATACAATCTTGTATTGATATAAATTTATTTTACAAATTGGTAGTAATATTGTTGATCTGAACTATTTATTTACTGATATTTTGTTAGCTTACTTTTTAATTATTTTCAATTTTTGGACTCTCAGGAAGATATGCTGATTTAAGGTCCGTCATCAACTAAAAGACAAATAAATGATATGATTTCTTAGCCTAGTTAAAGCCTAGTGTGGGGTAGAGATAAGCCCCCCAGCCATTATAGAGTAATAGTGCGTAATAGCACTAACTCAAGAAGAAGAATCAAGAGAATCAATTTAAATGCAAGCAATTATTATGTTATCTAATTAACGAATATTGTATTACCGAAGCGTAAGTTTTTATTATTTTTTTTTTCTTAGGTAAAAATAACAGCTGATTCTTTTCACCATAAATCGATCAACTTAAATTAATAGTATTATTTAATTTTCCTCGTATATTAGTTGAAGTAGAACTCAATGGAAACAAAATATTTGGTTTGAACGCTTATTTATAAATATTAATAAAGGAATGATTTCACCCTAACGTGGGTTATCATGTTAACAAATAATGATAATTGTAACGTTATATGTAATTGTTTCATTTACAAAGCTATAGGTTACTCTTCAAAATAGTTAACTAAATATCTTTTGTTAATCTGAAAATTTTCGTTTGGACTAAAAATCTGGTTGAGCCTGGTTAATTCTGTGGTGAATTTAGATTTATCAAACGAAAATCATAAGTTAAATGAAGATGTAAATAAAGCAAAAGAAGAGAACAGTGACGAATACATTTTGTTAATAGCTTCAGTAGTTTTATTTCATTTACAATTACTATTTGAAAGAGAGCACCATGCAATGTGATATATATTAACCGACGGGGCTAAAGCACAGAAAAGGCAAAATACACGTTCACTTCAAACAAATTCATTTTTCATGCTGTATTTAAATTGCTTTGTATCTCATTTTTGTTGTCATGTCGCTCAATGATCATTAAGTAAAACATGTTTCTATCCATGCTGCCACATTTTCAACAAAGAGTGCCGCATAAGGTGAGAGCACAGTTGATGCATTAACTTTAACGGCAGGCAACTATTCAAACAGCAGCAGCTTCAATTTTTAGTTTAAAGCGAAGTGTTGAATTCGAAGTGTGTGATCGGGGTGCTGCGGTCTGAAATTCAAATGATTGACAAGAAAACTTTAGTGAAAGATCAGTGAATTGTGCCGTTATAATCGAACTTTACTTAACGAATTTGTTTTTATATGAATCAAATTGTTTGTGCAATAAAAATATATTATTGCGGTAAAATTATTTTAGATTAAATTGATACATTTGAAATTATATCAAAGCTTCTTTTATTTAAGTCCGCGATTGTGCTTAAGATAAACATAAATAATTATTGAAAAAAAAAAATTAAATAAGTTAAAGAAATATATAAATATTTTTTATATATTTAGTACGTATATTAATTAATTTCTTTAAATTCTAAAGATAAAAATAAAATAAGAAAATAAAAAAAAAACAACAACAATACAAAGTTGTAAATTAACCCACTTTCTAAAGTGTAAATCGATACGAAAAAGACACTGAAAATATTGTAAATTTATTCAAGACAAAATATCAAAAACAAGCCACGAAGTAAATTTTTAGAAACATTAAAGTGAATCATAATTTTTCGCATAACAACAAAAACAAAATTTAAGTGACTAACTAAAAATCACATGAAAAAACTATTAAAAATACTTAAAAATTACCAATTATGAATTTTCTTTAATTAAGAAGTTACTAAGAAATAATTAAAAAAAAATTAATAAACTTTATAATTGCATTGAATTATCCTTTCGGACCCTTGATTTTAGCTTTTAGCTTATAGATTGGATTTACGGATTACATTCACTTCAGTTGGAATATTTTTATACATTTTCAAAGGTAATGTATCTTTTTAAATGCAAAAAAGTTTTAAATTGTGTGTGTAACTTCTTGAATGAAGAAGAACGACCTTTTGAGTAGCTTGCGATATTTCATGTGTTCATGTCTATCGAAAATAGAATGCAGGGGTCCTCCCTGATCACAGGTATAAATCATTATTTTCAAGTATCGAATGAGGCTATAATTTTTCAAACTACTTCTATTAATATCTCTAAAGAAGAAACATGTAGTGTTAGAAGGCCCAATTATCTTAAGAGATCTAGATCTAGAGAGATGTAGCTACCTAATAACAGATGTCAGTTGTCACTCATGTGCAACATTTGGGTACTTGTCTATATTTTACAAGCAATCCACTCAGAAAAGCAGCGCTCTGCTTTCAATAATTAGTATAGAAGTTGTTGAAACTTACACAAAAAAAAACAACAACGATTTTTCTCAGCTTTGGGCATCAGAAGCGATAGGTTTTTAGGGAAGTCATTTTTGGATATTTTATCACATAGCATGGCTATAGTCCAATATAATGAGGTGGCATGCGACGAATATGGATAAAAAAAATGGCAATTATTTGTAAATTAAAGAGAATCTGAAATGTATATACTGATTTACCAGTGCAATCAAGGAACCAAACTTTGGGTACCCTTCAAAATTTCATTGTCATATTTAGGTATATATATTGAAACTGGATATCAGTTTAAATAAAATAGTGAAAAACTAATTTTAAAGTAGAATGCGACTTACAATTATTTTCTTATATTTTTCTATTTAATATGAGATATTGTGTTGTCAATCTTTAATAATATTGAAGAAAGGATATCATCATAGTTTTATTTCTTTAAAACTTTTGTGTCAAAGGAATAAAGAGTGTGTCAAGTTTATCAAAATATTTGCAACATTATAAAGGAGATGTTAAACACCATATAATTTCTGTATACAAGTATTCTTGATGTACATGACAGGATTAATGTATCTATCAATATATGTTTGTCCGTATGTTACTTCGCAAAACTAGGCCTGCAGTGTTTAAGGAAATTGAAAAAAATTAAAATGAAAATTTTAATACTAAAAATACACATCTAATACGCTTTTTATCTGTTAAATGACAATAAAACACCTGTTCAAACTATAAGGAATATGTTTGGGCCACTATTTTTCTGAAAATACCTCTTGGAGTAAAGTTTATCGAACATTTCTGTTGAGATCTTGGAGATTTGTCTTCGATGTGAATATATTTATACTGGTTTTCTGAAATTGAGCGACTTAGTCATTTCTTTAACTTTCAATTTGTTTCGCTTCAGTTTAATGTAAAAATAGTGAATAAGTTATTTATCAATGTTGCGACTCCAGTAAAAATGTCCTTTGAAAGGATTCGATAAACTGCAGTGGCAAACTAAGTAACTATGAATGGAAATGTACTAGAATTCAAAGGAATTTTTTTTAGAAAATGTATAAATACATTACATCTTATATTTGATTTTAATTTTAATAAAAATATAAAGGCTGAATTTTTTCAAAAGAATACAATTTTTTTGTTGATGCAGTTTTTTAAAATAATTTATTGACTTATTATAGTTTATTAATATTTGAAATGATAATCAATCACATGAGACTAAGTCCATTTGACTGAAAATAGCCTAGGAGAAAGTTAGTTGTTTTAAAATTCATTTCGGGTTTTTGTAATAATATATATTTATATATACATGTTTTTACTGCTCTCATATATGTAAATACACATATGCTCACATTTTAGGGTGCAGTTTAAGTGAAATAGCAACTTACATTTATTTACTTCAGTTAAATAGTAGTGAAAAATTATGTAGTTTTCTCTTGAAATATATTAATATATATATATATTTATTAAAATGATAATATCTATACCTATATGTACCATCATGTTTCTTGAAGTATTAACATATTTATTTTGTTTCTATCTTCTGCTCAAAAAGTACTCAGATTTTGTAAATAAAACACACAAATTTAAATTTTATTCAAATTTATTTTATCTCCTTCAAAATATGCTCCTTCTGAAGCGATACACATATGCCAACGCTTAACCCAATCTTCCATACATTTTTTGTAGGCCCGTGAAGATATGACTTTTAGTTCCTTTAGCGAATTCTCTTTTACCGATTCAATCGACTCAAAACGCTTATCACGAAGGGGCAATTTGAGTTTCGGGAACAGGAAAAAGTCGCACGGATCCAGATCTGGCGAATATGGTGCCTGAACGAAGACAGTGGTGCCGTGTTTGGTCAAAAAATCGCGTACAACAAGAATTTTCCATAGTAAAGATCGCTAAATGCACTTGAGGTAGTCTCACATTAACAGCTGCTGTAAACAAACTAATTGACAGATGGCGCTCAAATCTGTACCATATGTCAAGAAAGGGTGTACCAACATAACAAAAAAAAATTTTGAAAAAGGTCTATTACTTAAGGAGTAGTTAACAAACAACGAATACTTTTTGAGCAGAGTTATATTTTGTTTTCGAAAATAAGAGTTATTCTTAATTTTTATATTTTTTAAAGCAAAAATAACAGTTATTTGTGCGTTTTAAAATAAAAAGCAGAGTGTAAGAGTTATTGCTGCGTGAAAAAATAAAAGGCACATGATAATATTTATTTTTTATGAATATAATATAAAGCAAATTTAATTATTTTTGGAATATTATTTTAAAATGCGAATGATAACAGTTATAGGATGAGTTTTATTTTTTAATAATATGTAAGTGTTAGCAAACTTTCATTTTGTGTCTGCCATAAAGATAAAGAATACTTAAACTTCGTTCTTTAAAATATATAATAACAGCATAAGAGGAGTTCTCCTCTTGAATAGAATTAAATTGAATTGGTAGTAACTTTTCGCTTAGGGATAACATAATGCTGTTATATATATTTAAAAAACGCTATGACAATTTCGGTATGAGGAATAATCTACTCTTCTTGTATGGAAGCTACAAGCTATGTTATGATCCATAAATTAATTACATTAACATTCTAAAAATTGGCATAACAAATTATATGTGTTTGTACAGAAATAAGAAACTTAAATTATTTCAAGCATTACTTCATGGTGTTTGAATCTCAAAAATTCGCTTAGATAATTTTTCCATAACTTTGGAGCTTAAATCTTAACGGAATTATGTACCTTCCTACTTCCGTAAATGCTCAGAATCTCGCTCAAGTTCGTATTTAACAATTCAACAGTTTCTGTTATGAAACAGAATCAAAATTATTTATTACATAATAGCTATTATTTGTTAAATTTATAACAAAAACTGTATGAAATAGTTTTTAATTTCGATTTCTTCACTTTAATCTTATTACCAAAATATAATGAATAACAAATTTTTCTCATCAGCTGACTTAAAAAGTGAATTGCTTTGTGCTATCCATTATGTGTTTATTGTCACACTATTTAAAACACTTATGGATGCGTTGTTAATGGATCCATTGATGCAACTATTGGTTTTTTCATTTCGTACTAATTTCGTTTCTCATGACTTGAAATCGTTTTAAACTAATTTGCTCTTTTGAACTTCGTCGAGTGAAATTTACAATTTAATAAACAATTTCTCAAACTTAATTAAAAATGCATTGTCGGATTGCCTAATTTGTTATGAAGACTTTGAGACAGTTAATTGCCAAATTAGCAAGCAACTCCCTTACCATTAGTCACAAAACCAACACCAACGTCAACATTTCCAAGTTTTTAGTCGTTTGTCGATGGATTTCAAATCACTTTCAGTTTTAAGCTTTTATTTAATTTTTAATAACTTATGATTACAAGTTGCGGAGCTTAACAATTTTAAATTGCAACATGACATTTCAATTTGGTCAAAAAACAGCAACAACCAAAGACCAAAACATGCGAAGAGATAACCAAGCCATAATGAAGTGACAAGTCATTGCCATTGTTATTGTTGTTGTTATTATTTTACGGTTCGATAACTGAATTTCAAAAATTTCAATTCACATGAAGCACCACAGAAACACACATCCCAACAGCTTTCCAATGTTAAAAAATTGATTCAAAGATACTTATAGTCTCGCATCTTCTCGCATACACCGTCCACTAGCAGAAATATCTGTCAATACAAGTGAGTTAACCTTGAAAAGAGGATTATTATTTTTAGTGAATTTTTCTCAAATTGCAACAAAATAGAGTAGCAGTTGTGTATTGTATCTTTTGAATTTGTCACTAACCAAATAAAGTATCTAAGATTGCCCAGAAAAGGTGTCAATGTACTTATCCAGGAAGTTGGTTTCCATAGGAGATGACTTTCATGTGTATTTTATGTACTTTCGCTTATTTTTGTTATAAATGAAAGAAAAACAAATTTACACGTTCTTAGTTTCCTAATCAGTTCAGTTTTTGTGTTTCGTGATTGAAACTTTAATCAGTTTCGCGTTTGTTTTATTTAGATTAATTTACTATTGCTATTATCGCTGATTTGTTTGTTAATCGTTCTTTCAGAAGCATTTCCGGTATTTAGGTTTCGTTTCTTACTTTTATTAATGAGATTTGCCAATTTCAAAATGAATCATTCAGAGCGCATTAGTTACAAACATTAGCTTGCATTTGGAAACTGCACTATGGGGTTTTGTCGAAGTATCTGATCTCAGGGTACAGCTTGTTGTCAATTCTATTGAAACATTATAATTCGTTAAATTTTAATACAAAAAAGTTATTTATGAATTTTGTAGATGTTTCATACTAGTATAATAAAATAGACGAATGTTTTTTTGTATTATAATACTTAACAAATATCTTACATAACATATCATAATATAAATCTATTTGAGAACATATTTAGTTCCTTTTATTAATTATTAATTCAGTTATTACGATAGTCCTGAAAAACAAAAACAAATAGTATATACTTCAAGAGTAGATACTAACGCATGACATTAAAATTATTGTCTCCGAATCTGTAAATAGTTTAGACATATTTTCTAAATAATTACAACTTCTGCTGTTTTCTGCTTAGCACATATAAACCC